AACAAAACAAAACACTTATTTGGAAATATGCTCTCCTTTTAGTTTTTTAAATAGAAGATTGTCTAAAAATTACAATTAAAACAAAGTTAGTTAATATGAGTTTCAACTAGGATTGTTCCCTCCCACTAGAATTCTATACATTATAAAAATTAAGCCATTAGTAAACATCAAATCAATTTAGAAATCAAATATAGCATAAATGGTCCCTTTACCTCAGAAGAATTCTAAATCACAGCTGCAAGATTTATTGCTGGTTTTGTTTTTTTCCCCCCTATGGAGAATGTTTCTTTAGGCTTAATTCCTTAGTGCCTTTCATTTATAGATCAACCTTCCGGTCAAGCTTTCTACCAGCCAATAAGCGCCTAAGGAATATCTCCTTCTATGTCCAGATCTTATTGCTACCTCTTTTCCTTATTCACCCAATTAGCTTTACAATCCATAGCTGTCACTAGCCTAACTACCTTGGAACCCCTAGATAAAAGCTTCTTATCCTAGGCTGCTCTATTCATCAGGAATCTAGCAAAACTATGGTTTGTAGAGCTTCCCATGAAATACCTCCCACTCAACTGATTTGTGGTCCCTAATGAACCATAGGCTGATGGACAATTATTCATCTGGCTCAGACATATGGAACATTTAAAGCTAGGGTACTTGGGATCTCACAAAGCTGCCTATGCGCTTCCAATTTAACTTTAGATAGAAGATTTTGACATAAGTAAGGAATAGAACATTAACCACAATGGCCCAGAAAGAGCAACTTTCCCTTGAATGCTCCAGTAAGCTGGTTGTGCAAACCAAAAATAATAAGGTTTTGCAATTTCCCACATTTACAACAACAATCCTGAGGCACAATTAAAAAGAACCCTTCCTCTGCACCATCACCAGCTTGCCTGTAACTAGGAAATGGCTATACGTTTTCTTAAAGTCCTTTAAGTAACTTTGTGTGCAGAGGTTTGCTGGGTTGTCAGTATTTTGGTTTAAATGAAAACAACAAATAGGCCATAGAAGATGGCATTAGGAACTGAGTAGTTTGGAGAACCGCTTGCTGAGCCCTTCACAACTCAGCTGCCATTTCTGCTTGACAGTGAAACCTAGATATTCCAGTACCCCCTTCAATACCTCTATGCAATTCATTATCAGGTAACTAGGTTATAAGAAATCATCACAAGACAGGAGGGTGTATGTTTAGTAATTGGAAGACATGGTTTGAAAAATGACTGCTTGGGGTTACTTACAGTATTATCTCGTTCAACATTCCCTGCCAGAGTGTGAAGGACAAAGAGAAACAGGGAGGCATGAAAGGAAAACAGAAACACTTCTTAAATATTCAGTCGGCTCACTCCAATGGATCTCCTCCCATTCCGGCAAGCAATTGGCATGAGGAACATTCTGTAGAAACCACAGTTGTAAATATGGGGCACTTTGTCCTGGCTTTCAGAGGTAGCTCAGAGTCAGGTACCCTGCATCCTTCCAAAAAAAAGTTACAGGGGCTAATGAGAATAAGAGAGAAGGAGAAGGAAAGGGAGAGAAAAGAGACTACAGGTAGTGAAGTATTTATTCAGTGTGATTAAATGCTTTCCTCCCCTAACTTCTTCTCTGCCTCTGAGCTTCTGGTGGAAGAGTATACAGCATAAAAGGGTAGTTTATTCATCTTCCCTAAGATTTAGATTGATGTACTGCTGTTTTTTGAGGCAACTTGGCGAGGTCACTGAACTTGTAAATGCAGACTTGTTCCCCATGGAATTTCCTTGCTAAAATACTGCTTTTCATTGATTGATAGGTTGAAAAACATGAAATTTACTTCCCTCAGATCTTCTTCCCCAGAACAATGCCAACAGCCATAAGATGTGTGATTAGGAAACCTCAGAATGGAAGAGAAGGAAAGGAGGGGGGAAGAGGGGAGGGGGCACATGAAGAGGCCTTGGAACTTTTTAGCCAACCTGGTTCAGCTATTTACTCTGACACGCTGCGGGGCTGTAGGCGTCGATTTTAAATAAGAATACAAGTTGGTCCATACATTTCTTACTCCTGGATAACTTAAGGTCTTTTTTAAAGTAAATATACCACAGAGAGACAGTGTAAATTGTTGGGAAGAACACTGCATTGGTATTTGGGAAACCTGAGCTTAATTCCATCTCCTCAGCAAACCCTACCTGTCCTTTAAAACCTAATTTAATAATCAGAAATATCACCTAAATCTAAACACATTTCTGCTCCATTATATCATTGGCCTGATTGGAAGACACCATGTTGCACATTGAGGACAAAAACTTATTCCCAATAATTTCTCAATGCATTTTCCACTATACAAAGTAGCTAAGGTGGATGTTGACTTAAGAAATTCTTTTGGACTTTGAAAGGCAGACTAAAACAAATTCTTTAACATTTGTCCATCTACACTGAGATACTAATACTAATAGCTGACATTTATACCACATTTAATTTGTACTCTAAAATACTTCACATCTACTCTCTCATTTGATTCTCACATAACCTTGTGAGAGAGATTCTATTATTATCCCCATTTTACACTAAGGATACTGAGCCTGAGCTAGATTAAGTGACTTGCCAAAGATCATGAAGCTAATAAGCATGTGAGGAGAATTCTAGCTGAGGCCTTCCTGCCTCCAAGTGGCCCCTGGCCTGCTGCCTCTTACACTAACTACTGTGATCTTAGGCTCCGTGGGGTTAGTTTGACCATCCTACAGAGCATTGAGGCCCTTTGTAATATACCAAAAAATAGTCTTTATGTTTAGTTTCAATTGTCTAGACAAAATGGTGTCTCTGCTTCTGCTCACATTTAAAAATGTGTGCCTCTTTATCACTATGATGTCAGAAGTGATATTCAGTCCTAGTCCTGACACCTACTCATTGTGTTACCTGGGACACTTTGCTTCCCTAGACCTATTTCTTTGTTTTTAAAATAGGGATAAAACACCTATATGTACATGCATTATATATATATATATATATATATATACACACACACACACACACACACACATATATATATATATATATACTCTCTCCTCTCTCAATTCCTCTCTCTCTGTCTCTGTATACACATATATATCATATACACATGTGTATATAAAATTAAATAATATTTCAACAATAATACACGTATATACAGTGTTTTAAGGTTTACCTTTTCCAATAATAGCCCATTAAATTGTGAGGAAAGTTAAACCTTAAAGCACTATAAATGTATGTGTGTATCTAAATTTGTAGCTGTATCTATAGCTATATCTATGCATTTCATAAGGTTATTGTTGGGAAAGCTAAAGCTTTACATATGCATATACATGTGTGTATACAATATATATATAATATACATCTATTATATTTAATTTCATTTATTTAAGATAAACCTTAAAGTGCTGTACATATACATACACATATAGTACATACATATATAAAGCTTTTGTACATTTCCCACTAATAACCCTTTGAAATGCATATTATATGCATATATTTATGTATATATGCATTTCATAGTTCTTGTTTGGGAAGGTAAACCTTAAAGCTCTCTCTTTCTCTTTGTATATATACATACACACACATGCACAAGCACATGCACATGCATGTATCTGTGTCTGTATCTGTGTGTCTTGGTCTAGGTGGCACAGTGGACAGAGTGCTGAGCATGAAGCCAGGAAGATTCATCTTCATGAGTTTGAACACAGCTTCAGATACTTGCTAGCTATGTGACCCCGAACAAGTCACTTAACCATGTGTGCCTCAATTTCTCATCTGTAAAATGAGCTGAACAAGGAAAAGGCAAACTGTTCCAGGATCCTTGCCAAGAAAACTTCAAATGAGGTATCAAAGAGTCAGATATGACTCAAATAACTGAACAATACATATATACATATACTTTCTCAAACAATAATTCTATGAAATATATGTAGACATATAGGGTATTATTTATATAAGGTAGAACTTGAAGCCCTACACATACACACACACACACACACACAGACTCTTTCCCAATAATAACTCTATGAAAAGCATATTTTATGTATGTATGTATGTATTTATGTATGTAAAGTATTGTGATTATTATTGAGTACTGGTCAAATGAGCTTGTGGCTTTATTTATTTGAATATGCACTGTTGTACAATTTCTATAAGAGAATAGCTTTAACAGTGAAATTAAGTTCCTCTATTGAAATATTTGCTATAAGAATTGAATACACCATATAAAAGCTGCCTTTTTCTTAAGTTCCCCAAATGCCAGTTTTTGTGACCCAAACTATGTAACCTCATTAGTCCCATGTCCATTTCCATCTTTAATAATGGTGAATTCAATTTTTGAAAAGCATTTTAGCATTAATCAAGAGTTGAAGGGGCAGCTAGGTGGCACAGTAAATAGAGCACTGGCTCTGGAGTCAGGAGGACCTGTGTTCAAATCTAGCCTCAGACACATAACACTAGCTGTATGACTCTGGGCAAAGCACTTAACCCCAATTGCCTCACCAAAAAAAAAAAAAAAAGAGTTGAGAGCAAGATGTCTGAAAGAATATGTTATAGACTTAGAGATAGAAGGACCTTCAAAACCATTTCTTCCATCCTCTTCATTTGGCAGATGAAGAAACTGAGAGGAGAGAGGTAAAGTCATTTGCCCATTTCCACAGAGATAGAAAGTGGCAAAGTCAAGCCTTGACCCAGGTACTCTGATTTCAAATCTGATATTTTTTCCACTATATCACATTGTCTCTCATCATGAAACAGTGGAAAATATATTCAGTACAGAATCCTAGGACCCAGGTTCCAATCCTGCCTGTGCAACCTATTATCTGTATGGCCTTATAAAAATCATTTAACTTGCCTATTTGTCAGTTTCCTTATCTGTAATATAATTTTAGATTAAATGGCTTCTGAGGTAATTTCCTGATCTAGACAAATGATAAAATAGTAAAAGAAGAACCAAATGAAGTAAAGTAATAAAATTAAAAGCAAATAGGAAAAAAAGGAAAGAATTTGTCAATTTAACTTACCTGCCCCCCTCAATTCAATAACTTCAACAAGAAAGCCATGCACAAAAAATAAAACTAAATAAAATTAAAATGGAACAACCTCCAAAACTTCTAGAGTTACTTTGAAACTCAAAAAAAAAAAAGAAAAAATAACAAAGGAAGAAATAAAGATGGAAATTGGGACAGAAATTAGAGCTTTCAAAGAAGAATTTAAAAAAAAAACAGAATAGATCATTTAGAAGACATGATGGCTAAACTTCCCAAAGCAATGAAAAAGCCGATTTTGAAAAAAGGAAACTAGCAAATTCAGAACTCAAAAAATCTAAAAATGGAAGAAAGACTATCAGAATGAAACCAAAAGATAGCAAAACTGGAAGAGAACCTGAGATCTTCATTGGCTAAATCAATTGATTTTAAAGACGGAATGTGTACAGAATTATTACAGTCCTAGAAAAATACATAGAAGTAAAAAAGCAAACAAACTAAAAAAGAGTATATTTTGGTACTAGAGAAATGTGAATATTTTTGTTTTTTAAAAAAATAGAGAAAACTATACTCTAAATTATAGATGAGAATGCTTGGCTTTGATTCTCAAAATATTTTAGAATATATTATTAAAGCGACAGCCTATGAACATATAGAAAAGGGGGAGTGAATATTATAAAGAACCAGCACAGCTTCTTCAAGAAGGCATACCAGACTAAACTCATTTCCTATTCTGACAGATTTAACAGATTAAAAGTTCAAAGGAAAGTCATAGAGGTATCTGATGAGGTTTTAGAAGCTCATTTAATAAATTCTGTCATAGAAACTGGAGAGATCTAAGCCAGAAAATTATAAAGAGAAATAGATTTAGAACTAGCTGAAGGCTGATGCAAAGAGTAATCATGAATGGTTCTAGGTTAATTTGTAAGGGAGGTACCAGTGGGATGACCCAGGAAACTATATTTGTCCCTGTGCTCATTAACATGTTTATAAATAACTTAAACAAATGTATAATAACATGTTTATCAAATATGAAGATGACACAAAGCTAGGAAACCTAACTTAAATAGTAAATGAAAGAGTCACAATTCAAAAAAAGATCTTAATAGACTAGAATATTGAGCTGAACAATATATAATGACAAGGATAAATAAATATAAAATATTATTCTTGGGTTCAAAAAATAAACTTCATAATTACTATTCACAATTGCTGGAATAGACATGGTTAGAGAGCAATTTGTCTCCATATGTGTTGTGTAGCAAACAAAAAAGCTAACAATCTTAGGTTATATTAATATAGGTGGTGGTTTTCTTAGTATAGCCAGCTTTGGTTCAACCACAGCTCCTATATCTTGTTCAAGTCTAGGAAATACATTTTAGGAATGACATCCAAATCTATAGAATATCCAGAGAACTATAACCAGGATGGTGAAGAACCTTGAAACAATACTGTTTGGAATAGAAAAAATAGAAAAAAGTGGTAACATCAAAGAGTGATTAGACTGTTCTGCTTAGTATCAAAGATTGTACAATGGTTAGATGTTTCCGAAGAACAGCTTGAGGCTGTGTATAAAGAGAAACTTTTTAAGCATTTGAGCTATCCAAATGTGGAATGGGCTAAATTCAATAGAAGTCTTTAAGCTAAGCCGGGATGACCACTGATTAGATATGGTGTACAGTTAATTATTATTGAGGTATAAGTTGGATGAAAAAGTCTCTGAGGTTCCTTCCAACTCTTTTATTCCATAATCTTGTAAACAACATGCTTTCTGAGTGGACAGAATCCTTTTGGAAAGGACAACATAAGAGAAAAAATGATAATTCATTATAAGTAACAGCTGTGTCTCTAGTCCTGTGAAACTGGAAGAGTACTAAAAGATCTGAGAGGAGAGTGAGGTAAAAGTTGGGTTGTCCTGATTAAAATCTTGTAAGTAAAGCTTAATTTGGGTGTTCCTGGTCTTTTTTCTCTTCATTTACTCCGTCAGAGACTCCTCACACCCTTTGCAACACCAGTGACATGGTACTTACTTTATATGCTCCTTTATATGCTACTTTGGGAAAAGCTTCTGATTAGCTCCTTCAAACTAAGATAAGAGATTGCTCATAAAGAGGACATTTGTATTTTAAAGGATAATAAAGGACTTGAGGTTGGAGCAAACAAGTAGGCTAGGCAAAGGTAAATTGTGAGATCTCAGTTCCCCTGATATCAAACCAAGTGGTTACTTATCCTACTTACTTGAAAGGCCATTTTTACCTGGATAAGTTGTTTTCAGTACCTATGATAAATACAGGCTAGACACACAAGTTGAACAGTTATCAAGTTTATATAATGAAATAGTTTTTGAGCTTTGATCCTCTTAATACTGCTGCATCCCAGGCCATCTCCAGTTGTTCTGATCTATATCTGGCCACAGGACCCAGATGGTTCCAGAGGAGAGAGTGAGGCTGGTCACTTTGCACAGCCTTCCCTCACTTAAATCAATTGACTTCCAAGTCATAGCATCATCTTCTTGATGTCATGGTCCTCTTCATGAATGAAGGGCAAACCATACAGCTACTTCTACTACTACTACTACTACTACTAATAATAATAATAATAATAATAATAGCAATAATAATGATAAGACAAGCTTAAGGTCACACAGCTAGTAAGTGTCTGAGGCCAGATTTGAATTCAAGTCTTCCTGAATTGAGGCCCAGTGTTCTACCCCCTACACCAACTATCTGCCCTTTGATATGATGCTATTTGCTTCATGTAGAAAAATGTTATAAAATGTATCAGAAATGGGTGTCAAGAAAAGGAAGATAGAATAGTCAGAAGAAAGGTAAGATTGTGGAAAGAACATGAAATGTGGAATCAAAAGGCCTAAGTTCAAATCTCAGCTTTGCTACTGCTACCTGTGTGAACTTAGATAAGGAAAAAAAAAACCCAACAAAACAAAACAAAACAAACAAACAAACAAAAAAACCTTTCTAAGCCTTAGCTGTAAAATGAGCTGTAAAATAAGGGGGCATCACTAGATAGAATGTAACATTTGGTAATGGTGATATTGATTTATTTAGAGGCGACAGATAAGAAAGTCAACACATAATAACTAACATTTTATTTAATTTGTCTATATCTGAACAATGGGTTTTTAAACAGTAAGCCAAAGGTAAGGATTATTCAGTGGATTCCATCCTCTTTTCATTTTCAGAAGGGGGAAATGAACTGAAAGATGTGGTCCATACTCCCAATCCAAGGGGAAATAATTTGTCACAGAAAAAGGAAATCTGATGGGGACACCTGGTGTCCATTCCTTTTGTGCAGGCTTCACTTTACATCTGTGACCCTATGATCCAATGTGTCAAGAGCACATCATGATGTATAAAAGCCTTGTGTTTTTTCTTCTTCAACATTAAGAAGGACTCAAGAATGTTGGGTAGGCAAACTGGGAAAGATTTTTTGGAAGACCTGGATAAGAGCTGGAACAGCTGGGAAATAGATTGTAATCTGTACCATTGGAGAGAGTACCCACATCAATGAAGTCACAGATCCATTTGAGTATTTGTATAAAGGTAAAAAAGTATACAACTTAAACTTCAAACAGAATCTTAGGATGACAGAGCAAGAGTAGAACTTAATTCTATAACATTAAATCGGAAATAAATATGTACTTATTGAATGAACCACATGTAACTTGGCGAATAACACACCCTGTGGAATGTGGTGGGAATGAAATGAGATCCATGTGCAGTGCACCCAAGTCATCATAACAGCCACATTTTTGTTTTTCCCTTTTCTACTTTTGTATGTGTGTGTTAAGAATAAGTAATGTCCTTGTGGAATTACTGTATCCAGTTGTGAATGATGTATGAAATGAAAATTCCCTGCCCAATGAACAGTGATTTGTAATCACTTCTGTTCTGTTTTGCTTTGCATCCTATACAGTGCATGTAGACTTACTAAATTTGACCAGAAAACCCACTGAACATTTCCTGTGAAAGTAACAACAAAAACAAAAATAACCTTTTATATTTTGTCCCATTTTCCTTTCTCCCTCTTGCTTTTTGGGTGCACCTTCCCTGAGTCAGTGGCATATACCTTCTCCAATAACCAGTTTATTTACTGAAGTCCAAGAAACTGAAAATAATATTGCACAAAGAGCAATATTTATTCTCTTTCAACATTTGGGGAAAGACAACAAGAGGTTTGAATTCCACAGGCACCAGTTTTGGGGGGGGGGCGGTCACTGCTTGTTTGTTTACTTCTCTGTAGTCACTCCAGCTTTTTCTTAATGTTCAATTTGCTTTCAATCAGTAGGTATTTAAACCTCAGGAGGAGCCTAGCCAAAATAATCCATTCTGTTTCCAAGCTAACAGTTGACTTTCCACCTACACTCTGGGCTTGTTCTCATAACTTTACCTTTCACTTAGTTAACTGGAACTTGCTTGGTCCCTCTGAGGCGTGGTTAACTTTCCGGAATTATTCATCTCTTCATACAAAGAGATGCAGTCATTCTTCCTGTATTTGCAAGGGCTGGCAGGGGAAGAGAAAAGTGAGCACAAAAAGAATTAATCTCTTTCTGTTTCTGTACTTCTTTTTTATGTGACCAATGAGTTTTAAAACATGAAACCTAAGGTAAGAGGTATTCATTAGATACTGTGCCCTCTTGTTCATTTTCTGAAGGAGGAAAATTCACTGAACAGAGCAGCTGAAGCCCAAAGTTTAAGGGGGAAAGCACATCTGGCACAGTAGGAGGAAATCCACATAACATTGTGGGAAGGTTAAGTCTATTCCACTTATATAAGTACCACTCTGCTGTTTTTCCCTTCATCTATACCAAGCCTTACTTTGGTATTATTTGCGGGTCTTCCATCTTTCTGCTAACAGAGATCACAATCTCTCCATTCTTTTGGGTCCTATCCTATGTTTTTCTTCTTTTCTATATGTCCTCCATAGAGGTGCTGGAGAAATGTCTTTTACTGAGGAAAAAGTGTCCTGCAAAGATGACAAAAAAAGGGAGATTGTCAATGTTGAAAGGGTTATGGAAAAATAGACACACAGATTAATGAAAAGTTGTGTAATTAGTAAAGTTGTGTAATTAGT